TCTTTGGCCGGTCCACATCATTCGTGTGGTGAGCTTGTCAGAGTTGCCAGTCAAATGGAAAGAACTTAGCCCATGGGTCCAGTCAGTGGAAATAAGGAGGATATAAGGATGGATTTGGGTTCAGGAATTACATATGACATGGGATATTCATTGATATTTATATCTTTTAAATAAATGACAAGTATGTTATCTCTTTTGAAATGTATCAATTGCATGAGAGTGGTGGAAATATTTGTCTTATATGATTATTGTGAGTTTAAATGTTAAATAAATGTTTATCAATTATTATTAACTCTGTGTATCCCACCTAACACCTCGCTAGCCCATGCTAGTATGTGTGATAGGTAGGGATTTAGTTACTGAGACGTTGTCTCATACCTATTGTTTAGCATTTTGTCAGGTGAGAGCTTTAAAGGAGGGACGTCAGGGAAGGCTCATGAGGAATAAAGCTATATTAGCAACTTGTAGCGTCTCCTCGGTTTATGAGCTATGTTGTATCCTGTATATTGCCACCTTAGGATAAATTGGTTTTAATTGATTCATGCATTATTATTTATTATGTCCTTTGAGGACACTATTGTGGTATGTGTGCTGATAGGTGGCCAGAGGCCTAGGATCGCATATTCGCATGTGATTTATTTATGAATTTATTATAAAGTATGAATTAAGATTTAATTTTTAATATTTTGATTTATGAGCTATATTATATATTGTTTTATAACCATATTAGACAAGATTGATCCTTTCTTATATAGTTTGTATTTAAATGAGTTAAGAAAAGTTCTTTTATCCGTGATAGGATGTATGATTGGGTGCTGCTCTTTTCTATCACGGATAACAATATTATATAATTAGTTCGTGTAGATGATTGTGATATAATTTGAGTTTATATTTAGCATGGTTTGGTTATAAAAAGTTATTTCTTAAAGTTACTATTAAAAAAAAGGTTTATTTGTTTATTTAGGAAGGTTGTTTCAGTAACTATGTAAAGTTGGTAAGTATATTTCTATCTTACCAACATAACCATCCATTCAACAAGCAAATTTCAAATTCTTATGTAATTTTACCCAAGTTCTATACTCAACTTAGTCTTGTCAAGCAACAATATTCAAGTGAATAAACTAACCAAATGGTGATAAAGCATTTAGAAGCATTAAGAAAAAAGTAAAATAAACAAATATATATCATTAATCATAAAAAGAGAGGGGCAATCAAGAGTAAGGGTTCAAAATAATCCTAGAATATAGTATTTAACTACTCATAGTCAGTCACAAGCCATAAATACAAAGAAAATTCACAGCCATAGTAGATTACAAGAGAGGAAATGAAGAAGTAGAAAAACGAAGAAGATGAAGCTCCAAATCTCTTCCAAAGCTCAATCTCTTGCTCAAAACTCTTCGAACACCCAAATCCTAGTATACAACGCTCCCAAGAATGCCCAAGAAGTATAGAATAGCGGCCAATGTCGAGTTTCGGGCCTTAAAATCTAGAAATTTTCAAACTTAGTTGAGCTGAACATTTTGCTGTTAGCAACTACACTGCATCCTAAAATTTTGCGCCATGGCCGAGTTTGTCTCTATTTTGGTTGGACCGAGCTAGGTTAGAGTGTATTCCAGCTCATTTTGTCTCTAGAAAATTTTGTTCTTTTAGCTTAGATGAGGAGTTTCACATATGATTTGGCTTCTATTTGTTCTTCTTTGATCATCATAATATAATTCTTAAGCAATTTTAACCTTTAAATCCTTCCAAAGCACTTCCAAGTGACTTAAAACTTTAATTATTTGACCAAAATAACCTTGCCAAAGTGTAACCTCTCTGAGCTAAAAAATAACAAGGATTAAAGCCAAATTATGCATAATTGTATCAAAGAGTACATAAAACTTAAAGAAGTGGTGAAATGACATGAAATTCTAGAAGTTAACACCCACTAATAAAAATAGTTAGAAACATTAAACTGGGCAGCTCTCCCAAGATTCAAACATTGATTTGCTCATTGTGAGAAACTAACCTCTTCTGCTAAATCCAACTCCTGTTAGTAATTTTAATATCAGCTTTATTAATTATACTAAATGTCAATATCATATTAATTTTTGCTCTCTCCCAATAGCAAAAGCCTTGAAAAAACAAATTTTTGTGTAAATTTATAGTCTCTCCAAATTACTATGGACTTGAAACTAATCTCTATTAGATTAAAAACATTAAGATTAAAATTTTTCCAATAAATATGCTTTCAAAAAAAACACATTTTAATTGGTGCCCTATTGTATCTCACTTTCACGAACATACAGGACACATTTTGAAATTCACTTTCGCCTTCATTTCTACCTCCACTTTTATTGAATCCGTGGTACTAAACCCTAGCTCTAATAAACGAGGTCACATGGATCATCAATGAAGGCACATGGGATGGAATGAAGGAATGAAAAAAAAAAAAAAAAGACAAAAGGAATTCAACTTGAACCTTGCTTACTTGTGTGCTGCGATCTTCTAAAAAATTCAATATTTAATTATTTTCTTCATCATATGGTCTTGAACTCGCCCGTCATAATGGGACACGCAAGCCAACATTTTGGGTGGCCGTTGCAAAGGAACAGTTCTACATTTCTAACTAAATCTGAACTCTTATGACGCAAAATGCTTACTCCCATTCATAATTTAAGTCACTTTAAATATTTATTCAAACTAAAAGATAATATTTGACTTATTAAATCGGTCTCAAATTGACAATTGTTTTTAAATTTTACTAATATTAAACGAGATTGTGAATGAAAAAAATTACCTGGAGTCATACTTAAATATTAATTATGAGGGCAAAATTGACAAATAAATATTAATTATTTTTCAAGTGACTTATATTTTGGATCAAACCATTTTTTAGGAGTGACTTATATTGTGGATTGGAACAAGTATTACTTTTTGGAAATTAATTTTACCAAAACTCTTTTTGATGAATCTTTTGTTGTAAAATTTTTGTAATTGCTTCAAAAATTTCCTCTTGTCAAAGGATAATTCTCTATTTCTTATGCCAAAACTTGGTCTCTAACTATTTTCACTCCAATTTTAAAGAAATGATGTCTTTTTGACTTAAATATGCTTTAAAGATTTTTAAAGCCTAAATTCTCGCCTCTTTGAGGAATAAACATTTTTTTAAAATTCACATTAATCCTTAAATATGTGTTCCCTCATTTTTATATAATTATTGGAGAACTCCTCATATTTTCAAATAATTGAATTTAACTAAATATCATTAAATTAAATTAGCCAAAAATCTCAAAAATACCTGAAATTCTCTTTTTTTTTAGTTATTATCATGACTTTTAATCTTAAATAGGCCTTAAAACTCATTTTCAATTTTTCAAGGATTTATTATTATTTTTAATTTCAAGCTCATTTTCTAAAATTAATAATTAAACATGAAACTTTCTGAAATTGCACTTTCAATTCTGACTTAATTTTCTACCAGTACTGATATAATCCTGTTTAATACCTCTTGAGGGTCTTAACATAACATAATCTCCATTTCTAAGTCTCATATCACTTCCCAATTCAAGGCACTATTATGGAATTTCACAATAATTTATTCACACTTGAGAACCTCAACTTCTAATAATTTGGACTTTGTGAACAATTTTTGCTTCTTAAAATAATAAAACAAAAAAAAATTTTAGATAATGAATTTTTAATTAAGTGTTTGTAAAACAAAACAATTTATTTTTAAAAGTAAAAAACAGAGCAATTTTTACATATCTCCACTGATGGCCTTGTGCATTGCTTTTCGCTCTGCTGGTCAACGACAAATAGAAATGTGGGGTCAAGGCTTTGACCGGAACAAAATTAAGATTTTAAAAATAATTTTAAAGTATATAAAATAACTAAGAAAAATTTTTATCTCGATTTACATAAAAATATTTTTTTAAATTTTTTTTGGGATTTCCACACACCTCTGGTTTATTATCCGTATTGACATGAACATATGCGCCATGTTAATTTCTGTATAGCAGCCTCTTCTTTTAATGAAGAATCATTAGAACCAATGGCATTCATGATTCATTATTTTCAGAAATATGAAGATGCCTTTCAATTTAGCCTCCGCTGATCATTTGCCTAATTAGATTTATTAGTTGTTACTATTGAACATTGATGAGAGATTCAATTAATAATTAATATGCTTTTTGAAAATGATGTCCTTGGCTATGTTTTTGTGGTTTATGAAATAATCTCAATATTGTTGACATCTTTCATTCACAAAAAAAAAAATATATTGTTGACATCTTCTTGCTGCATATATGAACTTTCTGATAGTTACGCGTTAATTATCTTCTAATGACTATAAAGTCAAGGAGTTTAGATATATTACTTTTGAGACCTAGTTTTGCATCCAAATTCACACACTATGATGTAGCTATACTTGTAAAAGCGAAAAAGTAAAAATATAATCACTCAAAAAAAAACTAAAAAATAGAAAATATGTAAAAAAAGAAAACTATTTTGGATAGGGTACACATCATTTATATGTAAAATAAACAAATTAAGGTATTAATAACAATATTAGATATTAAAAAAAAGTGTTGTATAGTGTAGGTAGGCTAAGAGATTAAACCTTTCTGCATGTGGTAAAATGTTTTTTTAAAAGAATTATAGTTTCCACAAACATACCATACAATTACTACTACTTATAATTCTTTATAAAATTGTAATTTAATCCTCCAAATAATACAAGAATATTTTAAATTTGTAATTTTTGGCAGAACTTTAATTTTAAATTTTACTACTTTAAGTGGCAGTGGAACTACTAAAAATATTATATATAAAATCCTTTAAAATAATTGCTATCTCGAATGGAGTCCGTAATTGTCATTTATCTCTTCTTTCCCTTCAATCACCCATTTTGAAAGCAGATCATACCTATAAATTGAAGCTCCATCTAGAGGGAACATAAAACATTCAATCAGCTAGACACCACTCAGTTATTGTTTCTGGTTCTTTTCTTCATCTTCTCCATGACAACACCATTTTCTTCTAATCTCGTCTTCACTGTGAGAAGGCAAAAGCCGGAGCTTATATCGCCGGCAAATCCTACTCCTCATGAAGTGAAGCTTCTTTCAGACATAGATGACCAACATTTCTTACGCGTCCAGTTTCAATTAATACACTTCTATCATCCTGAGCCTTCCATGGCAGGGAAGGACCCAGTCAAAGTCATCAGAGAAGCATTGGCTCAGACACTTGTATTTTACTATCCATTTGCAGGAAGACTCAGGGAAGGTGAAGGTTGCAAGCTTATGGTGGAATGTAATGGAGAAGGTGTTATGTTCACTGAGGCTGATGCTGACGTCACGCTTCAACAGTTTGGAGATGATCTCCAATCTCCATTTCCATGCTTCGAAGACCTTTTTTAATCTCCTCCTGGTTCTGATAAAATCCTTCATCGTCCCATCTTGCTTATTCAGGTTTCAGACACTCTATTTTCTAATTGGCTTGTAAAAACAGACACACACTTTCACTTTTTTCCTTTAGAAAAATTAATTTATTTAGTCCTCATGTCCATATCTTATTAATTAGGACTGATGATGTGTATAATGACTAATTGACCTGTAACTTCTATAAAATATAAAAATATTTTATAAAATAAAATGATGGACTAAAACTTATTTATTATCATTAACAATAGCAAAAAAATTATGCTCAAAGCTGTCCTCTTCTTTCGTCTATGTATACTCTGTAATCTAGTAAATTTTCGTTTTATTAACATCCATGTGGCAAAATTAAGCCAGATGCATGTTTAAGTAAGAGTCATGTCATTAATTACTATTGCTTTTTTTCTTTTTAACAAATTGTAAGTACGGGGACCAACAGTTACGATTGCAAAAACTATAAAGACCAGTAGAAAGAGGAAAAAAACCACAAATACTTAATTAAAAAGAAGTTGAAATAATATCAAGTTGCATATTAATTTTTCCATTTTGTTATCCTTTCTTTATACTACACTAGTTCTACGCATACATCTATGAATTGTAGATGACACGCCTCAAGTGTGGTGGTTTTATCTTTGGTCTTCGTGCGAATCATAGCATATGTGATGGACCCGGTATAGTCCAATTCATGAATGCCCTTCCTGAAATAGCTAATGGCGCAACTGAACCTTCGATTCAACTGGCGTAGCATAGAGAACTTCTGAATGCGAGAGACCCACCACATGTTACTTTCACTCATCATGAGTACGATGAAGAGATGGACGGCACAAAGCCATCCACAAACACTGTTCTTCTATCTTTCTTCTTTGGACCGACTTAGGTCTCTTCCCTTCGTAGATTACTCCCCGACCACCTACGTCAATCCTCTTCATTTGAGGTTGTGACAGCATGCCTTTGGCTTTGTCGAAAAAAAGCTTTACAACTAGATCCACACAATGATGTCCGCATAATTAATGATCGTAACCAATGCGCGTTTTGGGCATAATAGACTAAATCCTCCATTAACAAAAGGTTATTATGGACATGCTATTGTGTTTCCAACTGCAATTTCAACCGTGGGTAACCTTTGTGAGAGTCCGTTAGGGCATGCCTTGGACTTAATAAAGAAGGCAAAGGCTCAAGTAAATGATGAGTATTTTCACTCCGTGGCTGATTTGATAGCCACTAGACGACCAACATATTGTGGAGCAATAAGTTCACGTAGGGTACCAGATTTGAGCATTTTTAAATTTAGAGATGTTGATTTTGGGTGGGGTAAGGCAATGTATGCTGGTCCTCCATGGAGTGGACTTGAGACATTTCAAGGAGCAATTTTTTACATTGGACATAGAAATAGAGAAGGAGAGGAAGGTAGGTTAGTGCCTGTTCGCTTGCCAGCTGATTGCACGGAGAAATTTGCCAACGAGTTGGGTCGTTTACTTAATAGATCCAAGAATCAACAAGTGCCGATGCTCTAATATGATATCAGTTATGTGTGGTCAAATTGCATTTTAAAAGTGCTTGCAAGTCAAATTATAAGTTAGGCGGGAGTACGTGTGTGCGCTTAAATGTTTTGTTGGTAATGTTTGTGAAATAGTATATGTTATAGGGTGAGGTGGTGCATGGTTGTTTGTTTGCCCTACGGGGTGTTTGTTGAACGCATATGTTGTCTCTTGTATCTGGCATTCTGAATATCAATAAACGTAAGATTTTCAAAGTAAATGAAAATATAATGGAAAACCCAAGTTGGGGCAAAATATAATTTTCAAAAGAGACAACATTATGTGTATTTTTGCATTATTTTCTCCGCTGATATGTTTGTTAAACGTTCATCGTTAGAGTGCTTAACAACTGTATATGGTATTTTTGCACCATTTTGAATTATAATATTTTTTAGATAACGGTCAAGTTTTGAATTAAAAAAACTTTTTTATAAGTAGCATTTATTTTCATTGTTTATTCCTTTCTTATCATGTTTCTGATTTAATACCATTTCCCCCTTTAAAAGACAAGATTCATTTTATAAAACCTAAATCTTCTTATTCTTTCATTGTGCATTTACTGTGCACGAAGATAAAGCAGCAACAATTTTTTTACTTTTTCCTTGGAATCTCGCTTACTCCTTTTGAAAAAGAGAGGGAAAGGGACATCTTTATCTGCTTTCCCCCCCTTTGTTTCATTCCACGCATCCATCTTTTTGTTCATCCCTTGATCTGTTTGACTGGCTAATTTTAATGCGAATTAGCCTTAATTGTTAACTAATACACTAATTTATGAAAGTATAATCGTCACGAACGAATTTAGTTACTTTGCAGTAGTTTAGGCTATCCATTAAACAATTAAGAAACATGCTAATCATCATTATCAATCATGATGAATGTATCAATATATGACTTGTTAGAGCTTTTGCATTTTATATTAGTTTAGTTAATAACGAATATATTAACAGAAGACAAATAGTATAACCTATCTTGCAAGCTCTGAATAACATAAGAAAAGTGTAAAATTTACATGTTAATAACGAATATATTAACAGAAGACAAATAGTTTAGTTAATAACGAATATTTTAAAATTTCTTTGTTTCTTTCTTGCAGGGACTTGATCAATGTGAAGATTATGTTTTTATTTTTATTTTTATATGTCTCTTAGTATCTTATTGGCTTGTTGTGTATGTGTGAGATTTTTCTTTTGTCAACAATGGTATATATATCAGCATGCATAGACCATGTTATAAGGGGTATTTGCATGTTATTTAACTAATGCAGTTAAAAAAACTAGTCAGTAAAATGTTTATGAATGCATTTATGCATATGGTTAACTTAAATATATGTTACAAACTATATAAATTATCACTGCAGGAGAGTATAGATTTTTTTCGCCACAGGATTCAAGAGATATAAGAAAGAGATAGCACCATGCAGAGGAGAGGATCAGAGGAGAATCCAACCAGAAAGTTCACTAATAAAGCTTGCTAGTTGATCTTCCGCATCCATCCAAAATATTGAAAACTGAATCATTCATTAACTGGTTGAGACAATAGTTCAAGGGTGAGTGGTTGAACTAAGTTAATACAATCATTATTAATTAAAATGTATAATTTAATTAAAACTTATAAATTATTCATCTATCACCCAAAGATAATAATATCTAAATAAAAAGACGTTAATTCACAATTAAATATGACATTTATGTGTGAACCATTCATAATCCAACAAAATATATAGTAATAAAGCACAAAAGCAATGAATTGCTAATTTTTTTTCCTTTTTTTTTTTAAAAAAACTCAAACAAACCTCTTCTACTCATTTAAAACTCTTAACCGGACCAATTAGGGAACTAGTTCACTAGTCTGATCGGTTCAGTCGGGTTTTCATACCATCATCAGGGAGCCATATATAGCTCCTAATTAGTCAAATAACGTTTTGTCAAAATGACGGATTTGGATCTGAAACAAGCTGGCATGCAGAGAGACTTGTGTTCTTGGCTGCTCTTAACGGTCACAAACAAGCTTTCCTTTGCCTCCATTGTGTTTGCAGTATTGAGAAGGACCAAAGCCTCTGGAAAAAGAGATGAGGTGATACTATTCTTCACTGTGCCATCCTCAGAAATCTCTCACTTGGGGTGTGTGTGTGTGTGTGTAGTGTCAAAATGAACATATCATAATAGAGATAATATAAACTGTGGAATAATAGTAACAACTTGCATACCAAAGTGTTTTATGTAAATGGCACAGTGAAGAATAGTATATCCTCCTTTCTTGTTCGAGAGGCTTAGGTCCTTCTTACTACTTGAAACACAATGGAGATGAAAGAAGGCTTGCTTGTGACCCTTAAGATCAGCCAAGAACAAAGGTCTCTCTCTCTCCCCCCCCCCCTCTTCCCTCTCTCTCTATGTTTATTTCTCAGACTTACCTCTTCACATATTCTTGTGCAGAACTGCATTATATATAGCCTATATGCTCTAACTGTCTAGGTCCTTTTTTCACTATGTGTAATAATAATGTGGTTGCTTTAAATATTCCCCATCGCAATAAAATATGCCTTTCTTTTTCTAAAGTATAGTACTATGTTATGTATATTGAAGCTAAGAAGAATGATGAAGAAGTGTGGTAAGGATCATTAAATAAATTTGAAAAAAAGGATTGAAGATCTTAGGATGATTGCATGTGTCCTTTCTTAAACAATCATATAATACCAATAATAATCTAGAATTAATTACTTCCTTTCTTAATTTATTCATGAAACATATAATTTTTGATAAATAATTTTTTTTAATTTCGTATATAGTTTTCTAACGTAGTTTTTTTGGGGGGGTGGGGGTGGGGCTCTATTAGGTGAAGTAATAAACAATTGAAAGCAATATGAAAATAAAGCAAAAGTAGCCAATGCTAGTTCAAAGTCTTCGTTTCTTGATTCATTATTAATCTTTTGTTCCTTTCTTGTAATGTTAGTCATATTTCTGATTTGCATTTTGACGGTTTCCCTTTAAAACAACATAATTGTGCTTTTGTTAAAGTTGCAATTTTTTAAATTTTCCAAGGAATCCGTACGTTCTTTTGCACAGGATGCATGTGTTAATCTATTTTATTCCATTTAGAAAAGAAAGGGGAAGGGACATCTTCCTTTTTCTTTGTTTCGTTCCATCCATAATCTTTTTTGTTCATCCCCTGATAATTCTGTTGGACTGTTTAGTTCTAGTGTGAATCTGCTTTAATCATTACTTATTCCTTTTACCGGGGAAAAAAAAATCTCTCTCATATATGTAGTGGTTGGTTAAATATAAAAAACGAAGTCTGAAATTTAAAACTTGTTTTTTCACTTTCATCCTATTTAAATATATGTCACGTATTATTTTTCTGTAATAAATTAAATTTTCATTCATTAGTTTTCATGTACTTTCTATACAAACAAGAGTATAATTGAAAAAAATATATATGTACCATACA